TGAACGATAAAGTGAAAGAGGCCAGGGAGAGACTGACGTGCGAGGTAGCAGAAATCTAAAGACAGTTAAACATACCCGCATTATACATACATGCCTCATGAATGTGTGGATGATACCGCATGTGTACGTACGTAAGTGAATATGTTTACAACTATTTGTACTCGTGTGTATGGGTATATGTGCTTCGTTTTGTTCGATGTGTGTGTGTGTGTGTGTGTGTGTGTGTGTGTGTGTGTGTGGTTCGTTTGTGGAACAATTTTCAATAACAGTTTCAAACCTACACGTCATAATTTCATTCATTTCACCTCGGTTGATTTTTTTCACTTTGAAGTATTTTGACGTTCCTTGAGGAAAAGTAATTTTTGTTAGGTGTTTTTTAATTTTAAATTTCCTTTTGTTTTTCTGATTTCTCAATGTTTATTTTCATTATGGTTTTGAATATTTAGGTTGACAGGGGGTCTGCATATGTAATTTTCCTTAATTTTTCATTAATGGCCTTCGTCCGGCCCGCGACCCGTCATTATAACACGATCCGGCCCGCAGGGGTCGAATCAGTTGCCGACCCCTGATTTAAACCATAGCTGGGTGTATAAGAAGTCGATTCGTATCTTTCCCAAAAGTATTTGCCGATAAGTGAATATAATGAACCGGACCTATTTGTAAATCAGATCTTCCATTTCTCATTTGTTATCCATTACACCTACTTGCATCTAACCATGCAGCCCCTAATATTGATAAAAGGTCACCTATCTAGGTACTGACTCGGCTCGACGTTGCTTAACTTCGGTGGTCGTGCGACAACTGGTATTTCAACATAATACAAGCCCTTTACATCTGTATGTTTATTTTTAATTTTACTGTTTAATGTAAATGTATTTATCGCTTTATTATTTTTTTCTGTAGAATACTTTTTTGCTATTGTCGTATATTTCATATATATGTATATATGTATGTGTAATCAAAAGAAACCGCATTCTATTTGGAATTTTCTTTATATCAGGTAAAATGATACGGCCAGTGGCCATCTGCGAACTGTCTGTTGATTTCTAAATAGAACGCACGGACGTAGTAGTAAGTAAATGGTTAAAATTATTATTTTTTACACAGACAATTGTGTTTCTTAAAAATACATATATTTGTAATAACTCGAATTTTAGTTACGTATAGTATTGATATTTTCCCCCACCTCGTAGCGAAATCAAGGAAATGTCCTTCTGGAAAATGGCATTACGGTTTCTGAGATCTTGCCAAAAATACGAATTTTTCTGGTATAATTATTGATTTAATGGTCAATATGTTGAAAAGCATTAAAACATTTATGACGAATTTTACGTGATTTTTTTGCAACACATTTTTCGTACGAAAACAGTTTTTATAATTTGTAAATGAATTTGGGAATAATCGAAGTCAATTGCGAAATCTAGCGGAAGTTACCCATGAAATAAAGATAATTGTTCACACGGGAAGTAAGAATCTTCGGACATCGAATTGTCTTTAAATTAAATAGCAACAGAAGAATTATCGCTGAACTTTTAAAAGGTAAGCTTAAATATTAATGCAATACTTAAATTCAGCGACCAATATTGAGCTCTTATGTAGTTTATTGTTGCTTGTCGCATACGGCAGCATATACTTCGCAAAGGAAATCTTCGCCTACAGAGGACAAAATTTGAACTTAGAGCTAAAGAGATCAATTAGAAAAGATCCAAATCAATCCATAAGAAGATTTGGACGTGAGAGCGGAGTTTCAGATATGATAGTACAAAGAGAAAGTGAAAAAAAAAACTAGAAAAGGAAATCGTAAATGAAGCCTGTGAGGCACCTTTGTTTCGCCAGGACAGAAACTTAGAAGGTTAGAGAGAGGGAAGATCATCGATATTGTTCGATTTTTCAAATATATTAATGGCCTTCGTCCGGCCCGCGACCCGTCATTTTAACACGATCCGTATATATATATAAATATATATATATATATATATATATATATATATATATATATATATATAGGCAGGATGTATGTGTGTGTGTGTGTGTGCCTTGAATGCAAGCTCGCAATTTTCGACGGATTTGCACCAAAATTTACATGCACATACTCCAAGTTAGCATTCCCAACTCCCATCGATAGTGAAAATAATCGATTTTTTTTTCCTGCTTCTACGGCAGTTTTCATGTAGTTTGCGGCCATTTTGTACTGGCCAGAGGGAGAGCCTAAAGTTGGCTGCCACGAATAGGCAGGAAGATTCTATTGGCCAGCGTGAGAGCCAACAGCTGACTGACACCAATGTTAACTAGCATGCTAGCATGCAAAAAATCGATAGCTGCATTGGTTACAAGTGTGAAAAATTTAAATCTGCATGGCACTTTACTCCAATTGGCTCATTCGCTTGCTTAAACTCAACGTTGATTCTGATTCCGCAGAACAGGGGTGGGTGTGAAAAAGTATTTGTTGTTAACATTCTTTTTTCATTCGGTTTTTCCAGTTACGAGTCCTTTTTTAAAGCTGATCGTTTTGTGTTCATTTTGTTTAGTTCTTTTTTTGTAACAGATTTAATGTTTAGTATAGAACTTAGAAAATATTCGCAGTGTGAGATAAGCAAGAAGTAAGGCATGTAGCAACATCAGCAAGGCAAAGGGCACTCCTTTAAAGGCAAGGAAGGGCAAAAATATTTTAAGTCAAGTGATAGCAATTGCTGTATGAATCGTACGATTTTTTTGAATCAAGCACGGGCAATGCCGGGCTGCCATTCTCTATATATATATATATATATATATATATATATATATATATATATATATATATATTTAGTTTATTTATAAACTTAGGTAATCCGTATGGGTAGACCCGAGGAGGATGATATCCATAGAGCTCAATGTAAAATTCAGAACAGATATGTTTGAATAAAATTCTTCAATTGGAAGTGAGTTTTAAATAGCACGAATGTAAAGTTTAAATTGGTATTTTAATTTAGATTGAAATATACTACCCCATTATTGATGATAAAATTATTTAAATGGGAATAACCGTTGATAATTAGGTACATAAAAACAATCACAAGTTTACTTAATGAACAAAAATCAAAAACAATCACGAGTTTACTTAATGAACAAAATTCAAACGAATAGATGTCAACCTAACAAGCAATAAGATAAAAGTTTTAGTAGAATAAAAAATTTACTAAATATAAAATGGATTACTCTTTCAATGTACTGTCTATGAATTTTTCCAATCGACTGTTTCATAGAAAAATACCCAAAACTCCACCGAATTTCAAATTAATTTCTTCGTAGATTGTTTAGACATTTAGATATTTATCAAACCTAACCTCCCAAATATGCACGTTAAAATAACGCAAATTAACAGCGTCTAAGAATTTGAATGAAACCTGTCGTGTAATTGATTGTGGTTGTTGTAGCTTCTTCCTTTAATGTCGGTCTTATATCTAGAGACGAGACGAGTTAAATTTTGCAACATCTAGCCGACACACTGGGGTTAAAAATAGGAAATTGAAATGATACATATGACACACTCATATCCTCTCCCACCTCACTTCCTCACTTCGTTATATTTACGTATACTTGATGAGGTCCGTCAAAAACGTGTAAATTTCTTTTCATTTTTCATTTCAACTTTTGGAAGTAAAGTCTGATGATCCAGAACCCTTTTAAAGGGGTTATGGTGAAATAACTTATTACATGGAATCTTAACGTGGTCTGTTTTTATTCAAACATATATATATATATATATATATATATATATATATATATATATATATATATATATATGTATATGAACTTTATTTTAATACTTCATTAGCTTCCGATCCTTAGCTATGATCACTTAATGAAAAACATGTCATTTTCTTTTATGATCGATTTCATCTGTTCCGTTAAACTTGAAGAGTAATTATACATTCTTATTGCTCAAAGTAGAGTCTAATAGTGTTATAAAATCAATGGAGAATTCCAGTAAAATATCTTTAATCATTTCTAAGATACAACAATTCCAAGCTTAAACCAACAAATGGACAATTTTCCTTTTACACGATTTTGGCAATTTTGTTGTTACACCCAGTACGAAAATTAGACACATTAGAATAATAAATTAGTCTTGGGGAAGCTAAGCATAGAATCAATAAACAAGAAAAGAAAACTGTTATACGACAGTAAATGCTGGGGAATCTCCTCACAGATGAAGAAGAGACATCAGCCAACAGAAATATGATTCTACAGAAGGATGCTGAGAATACCATATACGGGGGAATGTGAATAACGAGAAAGTTTTAAAGAAAATTTAAACAAAGTGGGCCCTTATATTTATGTTAAGAAAGAGTCAGCTGAAACTTATAGTACACATAATGAGAAAAGAATGCTTGGAGAATATGACACTCAGAGGAGATATTCATGGCAGTTGGGACAGAGGGAAAAGACGATTAACTTAGCTAACCAACTTGTGTAAATGAATGGCAGAACAGGGAGTTGGAGTGATGTGGAAGGATAGGAAGATGTGGAGAGCTGTAATCTCGACCTTTCACATAGAAGAAGAATTCAATCTGATGATCAGCCGAGTGTAGAGGCAGAATGTTGCAATGTAATTCAGCAACACATTATTTGTTCATTAATGTTCAGTTCTATTTATTTTAATATGACCACAAATCAAGCGTGTTAATCAGTCTCATTCCGTTCAATACAGAAATTGATCTTTGATTTATTTTGTTTTGTTCCCGTGTCAAGGTTTAACGGAGACGGTGGAATGACCGCCGGCTCATCTCTTTATAATTAGATGAATCATATAACAAAATAATTAAATGAATTCTTGTTATTTTGAACCTGAGTGAGCAGAAACGGGATCAGAAGTGGGCGGTAGTTCTGTTCGAGATGCCTCGTACAAATAAGGGGTTCGTCATTTTCTAGCTGCCAGCATACTGGGAACGGGGGCCGGGAAGAAGAAATCACCGGCTTTATTTCCATTTGATTTATTTAACTAATTATTCGATAAGAAATTAAAGAAAAACACAGAAATATCGGGATGAGCTCATGTAGCTTGGACGTAAAGAAAAGAGTGATGAAGGGGAAAAGAAAGAAAAGAAAATGAAAGGGAAAGAACAGAAAAAGAAGACGAGAAAAGAAACAATGTAAAATAACGATGAAAAGTGAAAAAGAAAAAGGTGAGATAAAAGCTTGTATAAATAAACGAACAAATAGGATGGAAAGAAAAGACAGAAGGTCGAAAAGAAAAAAAAAGAAGACAAAAATCGATGGAATAAAAGAAAGAAAGGAAAGGATAAGGCTAAAAAGGAAATGACTGAAAAGAATAAAGTAAAAATAAAAAAGAGTGAAAGAAAGGTCAAAGGAAATAAAGGAAGAGACGATGGGAAGGAAGAATAGAAAAAAAAGAACTAATAGAACGAGGATTGGAAAGCAGGTAAATAACGAAATTAAAAATTGCAGCAGATAAGCTGAAAAGAAAGACGAGAAAAACAGTAGCGAAAAACGTAAGGAAAATGAAAGATGGAAAGATGCAAAAAAAAAAATGGAGGAGCAAGTCGAAGAAAAAAAAAGAAAGGAAAGAAAGAGTCTAAAACAGAAAAAAAATGAAAAAAAAACAATAAAATAGAGGGAAGCGAAACGATAAAGAAAAAAAAGAAAGTGACGATGAAACAAAAACAAGTAAGGGAGAAAAGGATGGAAGGAAGAAAGAAGTGGAAAAAAAGTGAACAATAGTTGAAAAAAAGAAAGAAAAGTCGGAAAGAACAGAGGTAAAAGCGAAGGAAATGTCGAAGGAATGAAATGGAAAGAGACAAAAGAGAAGAAAATGACAAAATAATGATGAAAATAAGAAAGACAATGAAAAGGTGAAAGGAGAGAAGAGAAGAAAAAAACGAAAGTAACAGCGAGACTAAAGCAGGTAGAAAAAGACAAAAAAAGGGGAAGGAAAGAAAATGAGATGAAAGGAAAGAAAGAACAAATTGAGAAAGAAAACAAAAAGAAAGGAAAGGAAATAAGAAGAAATGAACAAATGAAGGAAAGGTCGAAGGAAAGAAATGAAAGAGAGAAGTAAAAGTCAAACGGAAGAAAAATGAAGAAAAGGAACAGATACAAGCGAAGAAGAAAAGGAAAAGAAACGAAAGGAACAAAAGCTGAAGGATGTAAATAAAAAAATAAGAAGTTGAAACGAAGAAGTGAAAAATAGTTGGAAATAAATGAAAGTGAACGAATAGACGAAAAGAAGAAGCGAAAAAGGGAATGAAAAATTGAAGGCGAGAAATGAAAAGAAAGAATAGTCTAAAAATAGAAGGGAAGAAAACGAAAAGGAAAAGAGAGGAAAAGTTTGAAAAAGGAAGAAGCGAAGGAGTAACGGTAAAAAGAAAAGCAAGAAGGAAAAAGGCAGAAGAAGGGAAGGAAAGAAAAGAGAATAAATATTGGGGAAAAAAAAGAACGAAACGAAATATAAGATTAAAAAAGGAGACAAAGAAATACAAATATAGAATAAAAGAAAACGATGCCAAAAAGAAAGAGAAAGACAAAGATTCAACAAATAAAAGGAAAAAAAAATGAAGAATAAAAGAGAATGAAAGGAAGAGTTTGAAAAAGGAAGAAGCAAAGGAAATACAAAAGTAACGGTGAAAGAAAAGCGAGAAGAAAAAAGGCCGACGGGAAGGAAAAAAAGAAAATAAATATTGTTAAAAAAAGGATAGAAAAGAAACATAAGATTACAAACGGAGACAAAGAGACACAAGGTAAAAGGAAACGGTGCAAGAAAGAAATTAAAAAAAAAAGAAGCAAAAGAAGAAAAAATGAAGAATAAAAAACAAGTTAACCTGTTCTCACTAATACCTGACAATTCTTAGACACGGTCTCTATAACTAGCTTCAAATCGATCGGCGTTGTTGACTTTCTCACCGCAGCTTAGATGTGGAACAATTAAGGCTTGGCTTATTTTATTTTACGGCATATCTACCCCAATGGGTTATTTAATGCCGACAAAAATTTTATTGCTGGTAATGTTTTTCTTCAAAAATCTATTTCTGGAAATATTTTTCCTTGAGGAAATCTATAGCTGGTCATATTTTTTTTCAAAGAATGTATAACTTTTTTTATTGCTAGTATTTTTTTAAAAGTATTGCTGATAATAATTTTTCCTTCAAAAATTATTGCTGGTAATATTTTTTTTATTACAAAGTGTTTCTGGTATTAAAACCTATTTTTACACAAGTTTGGGTGTTAACTATTTGCCCATAGTTTGGGGGCCCTAACAGGTGCTACCACCCGTGGTCAGGGTGGACCTGGGAACACCAGCAATTAAGAGGTGGTTCCACGCTCCTCAAAACCTCCTGAGCAGAGGCCTTGCTGTTGGACATAGTTTATCGTCATACCCAGGACGCAGATGTAGTTTATCGTCATAGCCAGGACGCAAATGTAGTTTATCGCCATACCCAGGACGCAGGTGAAATTTATCGTCATACCCAGGACGCAGATGTAGTTTATCGTCATACCCAGGACGCAGAACAATTAAGGATCGAACTTACTATTCAGTCGTAATTGATCTACCGAGGCTAGCTTGTTAACCATTACACCACGTCGAAATAGCCAGTAAAGATCACAGTGCCGTTCGAATAGAGTATAACAAAACTTTACTAAATAATTCAACATGACCAACGATGAGGAATCTCGTTTGTAGAATAAATATTAGGTGTTAGCGGAAAATTACAATCCCTTCACACAAGGGAATGATCTTCTTCTTCTTCTTCTTCTTCTTCCTCTTCCTCTTCTTCTTCTTCTTCCACTTTCTTCTTCTTCTCCCACTTTCTTCTTCTTCCACTTTTTTCTTCTTCTTCTTCCTCCACTTTCTTCTTCTTCTTCTTCTTCTTCTTCCACTTTCTTCTTCTTCTTCTTCTTCTTCCTCCACTTTCTTCTTCTTCTTCTTCTTCTTCTTCTTCTTCTTCTTTATAGAGTATCCTCTCATGATCAATTTTAACACAACGTAAATCTTGTTTTTTTTCAATATCCCTCCCACTCTTTGTTCTGTCATCCATGTATACAAGTTTGTTAGGCCGGTCAGTCACTGTTCCCCGCCTCTCTCTCTCTCTCTCTCTCTCTCTCAGACTTTAGTTTGTCCTGTGAGTGTCAAATTCTCTAAAACCTCTTTCCTCCTATTTCAAGAAATTTCAACTGTAGTCTTCCTGTTTCTAAGAATAAGCGTCACATTTGTTTCCATTTTTCTTAAAACGTTCTCGCTGTTCCCATGTCATGTGCATGGGAAACATACAGTAGTCATATTCCACGGCACAGGAGATTGCCAGTGTATTTTTTATAGTTCATTTTAGTTTTTTTTTTTTTATTATGGTTACATATTGTAATGACTCACTCTTGTTAAAAGTCATTGCTATACAACTAACGAATGCGATATAATGAACAGCAAAACAATGAAATGAAATACGTATGACAATACCATCCTGATGAAGGGTCATTTGACTGTGTGGGAACAACATCTAGGAATACCAAAAGGGTGTATTTTCATATAAACATATTTCGTATTTGGTTTTTAAAAATTCGCCTGAAAATTCGTAGAAAAAATGGATAGCCACGTCAATTTGGGTCATAATTTTTAAAAAATAGCATTTAATTCCTTAGATTCATAATCTTACTACATATCTAAAAGGGGAAACAGAGGGTGCAGCCCTTCCCCTTGAACTTACAGATGGATTGGGAAGATTTACTTCTCGGTCCCTCGTGCATTAAAAGAAAACTGCTGATACGCCACATCAAATATAGTTTGAGAAACACTGCTGTACACAATATTCTCAGCATCCTTCTGTAGAACCACATTTCTGTTAACTCACGTCTCTTCTTCATCTGTGAGGAGATTGTCCAGCATTAACTCTCATATAGGGGGACTGTTATTACATAACAGGTTAGCACTCTTTTCTTTGTTTTTAATGATATTTTCTTCTGTGCTGGTTTGGTTTGGCTTCGTTTATTGTGTTTTACGGCATATCAACCTCAATAGGTTATTTAATGCCGACAACTTTTTTTCCCTGGTAATATTGTGTTTTGTCAAAAATCTATTTCTGGTAATATTTTTTCCTCAAAAATGTATTGCTGGTAATATTATTTTAAAACATGTATTGCTGGTAAAAAAATTTTTTCCCAAAAACGTATTGCTGGTAATAGTTTTTGTTTCTTCTAAAATTTATTTTTGGTAACAATTCTTTTACAAAGTATCTCTTGTATTAAAACCGATTTTTACACTTTTATAATGCTTTCTACGTCAGTTTCGGGGTTAACTATTTGCCCATAGCTGGGACCCTAACAGATGCTACCACCCCGGGTCAGGGTGGACCTAGGTACACCAGCAATTAAGAAGTGGTTCTACGCTCCTCAAAACCTCCTGATTAGAGGCCTTGCTGCTGGACGTAGTTTATTGTCTTACCCAGGACGCTGATGTAGTATATCGTCATATCTAGGACGCTCATCTATCTTTAATACTTTGGTTTGCTACTCCAAGCCTACGTCCGCAATTCTAATACTTCTAATTTTCTTTGGTTTTGGTATTTTTCTTTTTCTTTTCTACAAATATTTTCATTGTAATTTTTCAGCTGAACTTTCCTCTTTGGAACGGCAACTTTACGCATTTAAGCGCAGTACGAGACTAGCTACAAGATTTCATCATTTCACAGTTAAAAAGATGAGATATAACTGCAAATTCTACGCCAACAGTTTCTTCTGTCGCCATTCTCGCTTGTGGAAATCTCATTCAGCTTCTTGCTTTCCGGTTCACTTTGATCCTCAAAAATTTGATCCTCAAAAATTTGATCATCAAAAATTTAAATTCAAATGTTAATCGTTGTTAGTGTTTTTTCTTATATTCTCTAACACTCAATTAACCCTTGCATCTTAGTTGCTTTATCATCTTGATTTTTAAATAAATAAATATTTCCTTAAATTTAAAAAAAAATCTATATTTAAAATGAATAAATAAATAAATAAATAAACAAAAGAAAATGGAAATACAGATACATAAAAATAAATAAATAAATAATAATTACATGAAAAATTCAATACTATAAAGAACAACTCTCTATATTTCTGAGATGAGGTATTATGTACACTATTTACATTATTCGGACTATTGTCTTCATCTTTGTCTCCATAGCTATTACAAAGTTTCGGACGTTGTACGCTCCGGCCTTCTTCAGGTGGTTGGAATGTCGAACTGAACACTTTATTTAGCTCACTGGAGTAGACTGTTCTAGTTTCACGTGCCATGTTTAAAATCTCATGAGCCGACCAAGCATAGAAATGAATATAAAATATGAGAAGCAGTAATAAGGAGTGCCAGAGAAAAGCGATAATGACAACCAAAATTGCAATATGAGCTCTGGTAAAAAAAAATGTTGCTGAAAACATTAGGTTTATAATACCCAGTAATTCATACACAGATCCTTCAAGGACACATGGCATAGTGGATAAACGCATTGGTTAGATCGAGTGACAGGACTCAAAGTGTGTGAGTTCAATACTCGGTTAAGACTGAACTTGGAGAGGGGAATTAACGGGAGATAATTGATAACTGATATTCATGAAACATGGCACGTGGAACTAGAACACTCTATCCCAGTGAGCTAAATAAAGGGTTCAGTTCGACACTCCAACCAACTGAAGAAGGCCGGAGCGTACAACGGCCGAAATGTTGTAATAAATATGGCGACAAAGATGAAGACAATAGTCCGAATAGTACATAAAGAACAACTAACAATAATTAACTTTTAATTAAAATACTGTGAAATAACGTCACTTAGCGCCATCCATATTTTACGTAAGTTCTATGCTAACATTTTCTTTTTGCCTTTTACCCTTGTGGAAATCTTCTCCGGCTTTTTGATCTCCAGTCAACTTTGAACTTCAAAAATTTAAATGCAACTTTAATCGTTATTTTTTGTCTTCTTAATTTCTTTTTTTTTTTTTTAATTTCTTTCTCCTTAATAATGTTTTATTAAATCCTGCATGTTATTGGCTTTATTGCCTTGGTTTGGGTGAAATGATAAAAACTAGAATGTGTTCTTTGTGGTTAGGCGTATGAGCAGAACTCGGTCTTTCTCGAGCTATAGCTTTTTCATGCCAGGAATCCTGTCTCAGCAAAGCGAAGATAAATAGCAGCAAAGTTTGGATGAATCGGCTGCCTTTGGTCTGGAAACACAATCTAATACAGCCGTGAAGCCTCTCGTCCATTACCATTCGCGCGGCTCTATGTAAAATCAGATCTGCCTGCTCACGATATGAATATCCTGCCATTGTTAAACGAAACACATCTCAGTTATCTTACTATTACACACGTTAAACGTTGAAGACAGACTGGTCACAAATATACACGAATGACAAATGTAACCTCGTCTACACGGAAACAGAATGCCATCTACGGTAAACTTTCTTTAAACTTAACAACTCAAAAATGATGGAGTTGCAGACATATCCTTATATGAACTCTTGTCTTCACTTGTTTTGGTGTGATGTACACGCCACAAAGTTTGTAAAAGTAATTTTGATACACCCTGTATATTTAAAAAAAAACCTCTATGATATGTATATGCGTGTGTGCGTACTTGTGTCTGTGTGTCGTTTGTACACAGCTGTATATCATTGGTCATGTATATGTGTATATGTAAGCACAAGTATGAAAAATTTAAAAAAATGTCTTTAATATATGTA